CATCTCCACCGCCGCCGTGCGCAGCTTGGTGGACCTCTTCTTCCTGAGCTACATCGCGCTGCAGTTCCGCACCGCCTACGTCAAGTTGTCCTCCAGGGTGTTCGGGCGTGGCGAGCTCGTGATCGACACCGCGCTCATCATCGCGCGGCGCTACATGCGCCGTTTCTTCTCCGCCGATCTCATGTCCGTGCTCCCGCTTCCGCAGGTGATGATCTGGAAGTTCCTGCACCGTTCAAGGGCACCGCTGTGCTGGACACCACTCACCAAGAACAGCCTGCTCTCTCTTCGGCCTCATCGTCATGGCCATGCTCATCGGCAACATCCAGACTTATCTCCAGACCCTCACGAAGTTGGCGAGCGGCACGGTCCGCCCTTACAAGGCGCGATTGGCTCGGCGGCGGATGGGGGGCACGCCACGGGGCGAGCGCATGGATGAGGCCGGTGACATCGTGGGCTGCCAAGTGGGCAATTAGGTCTGGCCAAGGCCCATTTGGACCTACGATACAGCATGTGCATTCTAGGAGTTCATGGACCTAGCTAGATGACACATGCTGCCAAGTTTGAAATAGGAGAACTGTTTAAGGAGAGATATATTTATAGGATTTCTTTTGTTACGACGACCATATGCAAGAGATAAACGGATTAAGGGTCTATTTGGGATTGCTCCATAAACTCTACCGTAGAACAGCTCTATAAAATTCTGGAGTTCGTGGAGCACTCCTTTAAGTGCTCGATCTTACAGCTTCACATTTTTTACTAGAGCAAAATTTGTGGAACCACACCTATTTTAACTGAAAAATATGGAGGGGAGCTGTTTTAAATAGACCCTAAGTATAAGAGGATTATGGAAGATGCTTTTAGATCATCTTACGCTAGACGGTGTCCGTGCCTTGCACCCTTGGTGAGTTGTCCGTGGCGGACTTTGGTGTCACTATGTTGACCCCCACATCTACTTCGTGTCTTCATGCCAGCGGTGGCACGCTTTCTTCGTCTTCTTTTCTAAAAAAACATTAAAACGTACTACGGTGCAAGTCTCAAAACAGAAAAGAAGCAAGAGGAGTTTTTCCTAATAAGAAATTCGCGTTCCGTTAACAGGAAACAGAAACCAAATTCATCATTTGCTACCAAGTGCACCATACAACTCGGGATACTGTCAGACATGTCATTAGTTATTACTAGGACCAGGTCTTGAATCCTTTCGCCGCAAGTCCATGCACCACATCGTTACAAGCTCTAGGCGTATAAATACATTTTGCACTCCGGAAGCTTGAGGCCACTGGCCACCAGGTCTCTCATGTCCTACGGCCCCATTCGGCTTACCTTATATCTGATTTGTTCAGCTTCTTTTTTTAGCCGAAACAATGTTTTTTTCTCACAACATTTCAGCAAAAACGGTATTTTTCAGCCAAATTTCAGCAAGTCGAATGACTCGGTTAGTCAATTGAAAATTAGGTTGGGTCCTTGAAGGAGGCAGAGAAGTGGCTACCTGCTGGTGGCAGGAGTGAGCTAGTGACCCGGCCCTACCTTTTTCTTTTTTTGAAACGGGCTCCTACCGAATTTGAAGACCCAACAGCAAATAAGGTGGCTGTTCTTAATTTTTTGCAACCCCGGCCTCTCCCTTATCGTGTCACTGTACCGCCGCAATCTCTGAACATTTCAAGGCATGGCATGCTAGCGACGGCTTGAAGCCGCGTGACATTTCATTTCATCGATATACCGAGCGTCTCGCAGATGTTAGGAGGAATCAAAAGTTGCTGGCCTCCCTCCGCTTCTGAGTTCTGATCAGTCAGTTCCGCCGGCCCGACAACGGGCCGTTGACATGCCCCGCTTCTCACTCGGCAGATTTTAAAGCCTCCCGTCGTGTGTCTGTCGCCACTCGCCAGGACAGGGAGCCACGACTGTGTTGGTGTGTGCGAGCAAGTGATCGCGAGGTGCAGCCACATGGACACATTTCATGGTTGAATGCTGTCCTCCATCTGTCAGATATTTATACCCCAGTTGAAGTTTTCTCCTCGGGTCGCTTGTCCTTTTGCTTGTTTCTAATCTCTTGGAGCTTCTCCGCAAAATTCCATCGTTTACAAGTTCAGACAAGTCATTGTCGAGCCAACATAGAGCGAAGAAATCGAAATAAATCCTCCGTTTTCGTCACCAAATCTTGGCCTTTCCCTTTGTAATCAGAGTTCTTGATTGAGGAGTGACAGCTGCGGTAGCAGTAGATAGCACGCAAGAAACACGTACTACAAGGCGCGACCAGAATCTTTTGCGCCAGCTTACCCATCGCAGAAATGGGCTGCTTCCGCCTCTTCAATGGCAGGTCCAAGAGCTGCAAGAGGCGGCCGGAGGCGACGGCCCCCGCGCCGGCGCCTGTCGCACTCTGCTCTACCGTCTCCACTGAGGCGCGGTCGATCGCGTCCGCGGCAGCAGCCGCCGCCAGCTGCGCCTCGTTTGCGTCGTCGTCGGCGAACGTCTCGGAGGCTTCGGGCGCGAGGCCGGCAGCTCGGGTTCGGCCCCTTCGTCGGCGCGGAGCATCCCGGAGCTGTACGAGGAGAGGGGCGCCCTGCGGGAGTTCGGCCTCCGGGAGCTCCGCGCCGCGACGCGCGACTTCAGCCCGCTGCTCATGGTCGGCGAGGGCGGCTTCGGGTGCGTCTACAGGGGTGTCCTCCGGCTCCCCGGCGGCGGTCCCGGCGGCACGCCGGTCGCCGTCAAGAGGCTCAACCTCAACGGACGTCAGGTACGTTACGTACATCATGCATGGCCCGCATCCACGCTCGCGAGATCGCAATGCATGCACCTGCGCTTGATGGATGTGGTGTGCTTATTCGACTCCGTTTTCTTGATGCCGTCCACCAGGGCCACAAGGAGTGGCTCGCCGAGGTCCATTTCCTGGGCGTCGTCGAGCACCGGAACCTCGTCAAGCTCATCGGGTACTGCGCCTCGCAGACGGACCGGGGGCCGCAGCGGCTGCTGGTGTACGAGTTCATGCCCAACAAGACGCTGGACGACCACTTGTTCAACCGGGCGTACCCTGTGCTTCCATGGGATGTCAGGCTGCAGATCGCACTGGGCGCTGCCGAGGGATTGCTGTATCTCCATGAGGGCCTGGAACTTCAGCTAGCAATATTCCTTTCCACGTTTCGTCAGAACATGGCACGGTTCGTGATTTATGTACTAGTATTAGATAGAAGAATGTTTATCAGTAAACATCACGAGCGTTTTTCTGATTTCGATAGATCATATACCGGGATTTCAAAGCGTCCAACGTACTGCTTGACGAGGAGTTCAGACCCAAGCTATCAGACTTTGGGTTGGCAAGGGAGGGGCCATCAGAAGGCCAGACTCACGTGTCCACAACGGTATGCGCAATGCATTGCAAACTTATACCAAAACGACAAATGTCGCATATGTGCATTCTGAATTTTTTTGCATGATCCATCAGGTCATGGGCACCTTCGGTTACGCAGCGCCGGACTACGTGCAGACTGGGCACCTCACCACCAAGAGCGACGTCTGGAGCTTCGGCGTGGTGCTGTACGAGATCCTCACCGCGCGGCGCTCCATCGAACGGAGCCGGCCCAGGAACGAGCAGAAGCTCCTGGAGTGGGTGCGGCGGCACCCGCCCGAGAGCGAGCAGTTCGGGGCGATCATGGACGCGAGGCTCCAGGGGCGGTACCCTATGCGAGGCGCCACGGAGGTGGCCAGGCTCGCCAACGCCTGCCTCGCGAAGCACGCCAGGGACCGCCCCACGATGAGGGACGTGGTCGAGGGGCTGAGGCAGGCGACGCGGCACACGGAGATGGACGGCGTTGTCGTCGTCGTGGGTGCGGCGGCGGCGGAGTGCCAGGGCTCGCCTCCTCGTGCGGAGGCGCCGCTGGGCGCAGAGGATGCCGGTGCCGTGGCGGTGGCAGCGGAGGCGAGGAAGCGGCGGATGCTTCATCTGGCTGCTCTGGGGGGTGCTGCCGCTGCCGCTCACGCGAGGAGGCGGCTCATGCTCATGAGGGCTGCTGCCACTGCCGCCGCTGCTCCGACGTGATCTCCTGCCGTTGTTGATGCCCTTGAGGCCTTGACTTCATTCATGTACAGTCTGAACCTATGACCTCTGAAATGTATTCGTTTTGCTAGGCCTAGTTTTGAACTTTTCACATATCCTTTGTTGTTGTGTTGTGTGTGGCTTAGAAGGTTGACATTGGTTTCTCTATTGCTTGATCTGATGGGTCAGTGTTTGAGTCGGCACTAGCAAAAGATGACGGAAAAATTGGAAGGTGTGAAATGCAGTACTCCCTTTTTCCTCTCAACCTAATAATATACGATGCTGAAATCGCAATGTTTGAATAGAAACCTAATAATATACGATGCTGAAATCGCAATGTTTGAAAAAATGTGCTTTCTTGTTCCACTGAAATCCGCAACGCCACCTTTGTGCCTTTGAATTTCTGCTCTGAGAGTCTGACGAAGCAGTTGAGTCAAACGTTTGACAGAAATACAGAATGGCAATCTCTGGCTAGCAAATTATTTGCCACATGTTTGTGGATCCATAGATTCTGTTTGCAAACTTGGAAAAAATATTGATAACTCCTTTTTGCTGTGGAATAAGTATGGCTTTCCACCTTTAATACGTAACACGCTGAAAATGAAACATAATGATCATTTTCCTATATAAACCATGCATTCTTTTATGCTCACCTGTGTCTCTGTGCAGACCGTACTGAATTTTCATCAAGAAACAGCAAAGCAGTAAATAAACATGACAAAGCCAGAAAATATTCAGCGCAAAGCTTCCACATACACAGCAACAAAACCATGAAAAGTAATTTTAGTCTCAGTTATCAGCTTTTTCAGTAGTGCAAGTAGCAATACAAACTGAACAGTATGGTACCTTTTCAAGTTTCATGCACAAGTAACCAGCTATCCTTGAACACTACAACAATATTAACTTCATATAAGTGACTATGAAACCAAAAAAGTGAAGATTTACAAACTTGCAGATGCAGAGCACCAAATAATCAGTTCTCTGCAATGGGAAAGGCTGATCCAATTTTGTTGTTCCCCAGTCGGTAGCACTTGATGTTCACACTGTATGGGCCAATATCGACGCGGTTATCTTCTCCTCCAACAAAAAAGCACGATGTGTAGAGTGCAACCTCAAACTCTGGACTGACACCAATCAACGTGCTGGATACTGATTTCAGCACACCATGCCACTCAAACTGAACCGTTAGCAGCTGTGTCTCTGAATCAGGCTGCCAAGACCAGGGTAGAACATTTTAGCTAACATTATTGTTACATCAATGCTTAACTATATAGTATATACTCACTGATTCACCACGGCGCCTTGGAAATATATAACCTTGGTAATCCACATTTCCCTTGGCTTCTTCCAGGTAAAACTGTAAATTAGTCACGGAATACCTGTTAGAAATGTCCAAATAAGGAAACTAGATTTTTGTAACAATACGAGAACTTGCCTGAATCCAGTTATGGAAGCCTGATACCTCATTCTCCCCTTGTCCCCGTCCTTTGATCTCACCAACAAATACATGCTCAAAGGCAGAAGAGCAGCTAGAGTTGCCACCTCTTCCATACAAATCAAACCATAGGGATGTCAGCATTCTCTTGAAGTCCTCATAGTCCTGAGGTACAGCCCCCTTCTGCACTAAGTACCGGTGTAAGTACTTAATTGGCGCTGTTCTGGCAATCTCTTCAACGAAAGCTATTTCTTCGTGCTTATCCTGCTGGGTAACAACTTCTTTGTACCCCTGGTGTGGGTTGTAGTTATCCAGAAGTGCGCAGAAACGTGAGTAGGTGGGTTTTCTTAGCACATCGTCGCCTAGCCAGCTGAACAAGCTTTCAGATGCCATATCACCCTTCTGATAAACTTTCTTCCCCTCGCCACAGTCGATTCTGTAGTCCTTACCAGGAACGAGACGGTTCATATCGAGCTCCCAAAGTCGGCTACAGGCTTTCGATAAGCTATTCAGCTCCTCCCTGGTGGGCTCTACATTGAGTCCTTGGTGAATCTGACCGACATCCTCAGAGTACTTTTGTTCTGATGGTGGCTTTCTGTATCCATTCCATGCTTCAGACTGCATTGTGCAATGTCGTGAATTCAGAGTTCAGATAGTACAAGAAAGCTTCCGAAACATGCAATTATCACCATTCAACTAGAGTGTCAATTGATTTATGTGGGCATAAAAGTAGCAGTCTTACAAGAAACAAATGGGGTGTAGCCGTGTATCTACACTTGGTTTGCTCATATCTGTACTTCAGAGTATTGATACACTTAAAAAGATTGACCTGGTTCATATTCTCGTTATATTTGAGTTATAATACTGATCATTCAAAGATGAGCAAAGAGGGAAAAGTCGGCGAGTGCATTTTTAGCAGACCACATTCTGTAACGGTCAACTGATTCATTTTCAGTGTAACAATAACTCAATAAAGCATTGGTTCCATGGCTAAATGTTGGTTGACTGTCTTGTATATATAGAAGTAAAAGGACCAGAAAACTAAAGTAAGAGCTTAAATATATTCTATGAGGAAACAAAATATCGAAAAAGAAATTTCATTTCTGATCTTTGAAAGACTGAAATCAAACCTGCTGTGGTCTTCCATGGTGCTTTTTCTCACCAACGGTCTGCCAACTTCCATCATTTATCCTCCCTTCTTCCTAAAATATTCAAAATCATAAACTTGATAAGACACTCTTAACAAGCAACCAATCATTTGGGCTTGTAATTCTTCTATGAAAAGGTTTAAGAGAAAAGCTATCTCTGCGTGAAAATAGTATGACACAACTTTCAAATTTAACCAAGAAAGCTGTTGTGTTATTGCAACTTTGTACTTCGGAAGATCCTATAAGGAAAGAAAAATCTTGCATATTATGTTAGTATTTCCCACTATCATCTCATTAGTGCATCGGAGAACAATTCATTCAACTGAACATAAACATACCACACTATTCCTATTTAATCAAAATACAAATCCAGAATTTACCATTTCCATCGGCTGTACGTACCATTTCAAGCAGTATCTAATGAAAGATGAGCAGGTGAATTGCCCAACTCTTGTAAGGAAAGTAAAAATGAGGGCAAAAATAAACCTGTTGCTGATTCCCGTATCCTTGTGCCTGCTGCTGTTTCTGAGGGCGCCGGCTGCCGCCATCCCACCTTTCCTCCCCCTCGCACTGCAGAAATTGAACCCACGCAGCTGCATCAGCATGCTTCAAAAGAAACAACCCAGAAATGCACACTTAATAAATCAATCTAAATCCGGTCAACCTGGTTCTGCCGGCCTGCGGGGTGCTGCGGCTGGTTCCGACCATCGACCCTTTTCCAACCTTCGTCCTCCCTCCTCTCATGACGATTGTCCTTAATGCGGTGAGAAAATCAAAGTGAACAATTCCATAATTAGACCTATAGAATCATCGCTCCTCGCTCGCCCACGAGCACAGCAGCGGCCACTCACCCGCCCTGCATTCCGATGGTCCCGGCGCTCGTCCGGATCGCTGCCCTTCTGCTCGGAGACGACCTGCGGGGCAGCCAAACCACTCTCCGGGCTTAGAGCAGCCAAGGCCACCAAAATCAGCATTCGCATTTTCAAATGCAAGCATCAAGTGGCGCGCACCTCGGCCCACGTCGACCGCGATCGCTCGTCGCGTTGCTCCTCCCCGTCGGCGTCCGGGTCGGCGCGCTGGGGCGCCCTCCTCCTCGGCGCCTCGTCGTCGTCGCCGCCGCCGCGGCCGTGGTCCCTCTCCCGCACGGCGTCCTCCACGGCGTCGACGGCCACGTGGACCAACCCCTTGATGAGACCCTCCATCGCGCGCCGACGAGAGCGGACGGGGAAGGCGGATGACGGAATGGGTTGTGGTCTTGGAGATGGATCGGACTGGCCGGCTGGTGCGGATTGGGATCTGGGACGGGGAGGGACGACACGTGCTTTGTTGGTGGACTCCACTAATCGAGTGGCTTGGGCTGCGACGCGCAGAAGATCATCGGGGATTTCCTGACTTGGAGTGCGTGATTAAACTTGATGAAGAAACTTTTGCAGAGGTCGTGGGCATTCGTGGAACGGGCCAGGTGGCTGGATGCGATCGCGGGAGGAGCTCCCGTTCCCACTGCCGACGGGCGGTTCTGAACGTTGATTGGCTGCGACCCTTTCACTGACTTGGACAGCTAGTCAGCTACACTGGGCCGTTGGGCATCGGCGTGCCGATTGCCGAGGCCCGGTGAGCCCTGCAAAATGGGAACGGAGTTGGAAATGCTAATAATATGGTTGCTTACTTGCTCTAAGTTTTTTTTTTCTCTTAGTCTATTTATATAGTAATTAATTCTTCACTGTTAATACATGGTCTGCTTGTTTTCTCTTATAGAGTTTTTTTTTTTGTTCTTGTGCTAAAACTGACTGTAACTTTACGACCCGCTTCTCCTCTCTTCTCTCCTTCACCTTAGCATTTAGCCAGCTTACGGCATGTTATTATACTTGCTCTTAGGGCAGAAAAATTAACATCTTCTAATTTTCACCAAAGTCTGATTTATGGCCCCGTTCGCTGGTCTAAAACTTGGCTGAAACTGGCTAAAAAACACTGTTCCAGCTGAATTGTTGTGAGAGAAAAATACTATTCCGGTTGAAAAAAGAAGCCGAACAAGCCGAATATGGGGTAAGCCGAACAGGGCCTATGTCTCATGATACAAAATACGGAACTGTTTGCGCCCGTACGTCCGGCGGATGCCCGTGGCTGCACTTCCTTTCCGCGCATCCACACGGGACCCGCGCCACCCGGACGTCGCCCACACGCATTTGTGTTTAGAGCGCCCGCGCCATGCACCTCCTCCCGCTTCCTCTACGTATCCCATGTACAACATCCCGATCTACTTTTAAAACATCCAGATACAACACCTGCAACATAAAAAAGAAGACTGAAATATATAAAACATGCGCCTGAAACACTTAAAAAAGCACATGGAAACACTTGAAAATCATTGCAAACATATGCAACATATAGATAAAACACTTGAAACATATATGTGAACACATAACATACGTCTGAAGCAAATAGAACAATGAGAACAGACGCTTACATCATACCTCTGAAACACTTGCAACATATGCAACATCCCAATCCACTTTTGCAACATCCAGATGAAATATTTGAAACATACGCTTGTAACACGCGCTATCAGCACAATGTCACAATGCTGCTTGGGTGAATTATAACACCCCGGTGTTATGCCAGCATTTAGGCACTGCAAATCATACATAACATGCATCATAAAGCATCCTAATCATACATGCCTAATCATGTACATAACAACTGAAACACTACTTTAAAACATACGAAACATGTTGTGTAACCTGAATGTTGAATACACCTGTTTAAGAGTTGTTTTGCCCTGATTTTGCTTGCTAGGCTAGTAGAACTTGTTTGGTTATGATTGTAAATTATCTAGAATTATTTAGCACAATTTTTGGAGCAAAGTTTGTATTTCAACTTTTGACAAAATATGCTTTTGAAATTATTATGGGAAAATGGTCAAAAAATCCTCTCTATTTAGCTTTTGCTTCCCAATTCAAAATTTATGCAAAATTTTTAGTTGGTCCCTAAAGCAAAGTTGTAGAGTACTAAATTCTAAGCAACTTTTATTTTTGGCCTATTTTCAAAAGAAGTTATTTCCTTGCTCAAAATAATATTTGAAAGCTGACATTTAAAAAGTTCTTAAAAATAAAAATGGAAAAGGGCTTTTTCTCGATCACGGGTCATTGCCTCTGCTTTCCGCCCATCGACCCAAGCCCGGCCCAACCAGCCTCCCCTCCTTGCCACACACACATATAGCCTTAGTCCAGCCAAGCCCAGCATACCACACTTGCTCGCTCCATCGCTCTTGCTCCTTGCGCGTCGCGTCCGACCACATGTCAGAGCTCGCCCATCACAGGCGTGCTCATGCTTGTGCGTCGACGCCACCATGTCAGCGTCAGCCCAACCTGCGCCACGCACGCCTCCGCCTACTGGGCTGGAGCGGTGCGCTCATTGGCTCACTCTCATGTTGCCTCTCCTCTCCGCAAGCACCGAGCGCCCTCACTCTCCCTCTCGTCGCGTCACCGCACCCGCCGGCAAAATCCACCGCGTCTCCTCCACCACGGCCCGCGATCGTGCGCCCGCAGCTCCGCCTCGCTCTCCGGCACGTCGTGCTCGCGCCTGTGCCGCCTGCTGAGCCCAGGTAGCGCCGTCTCGAGCCCCGCCACCGTCGGCCATGGCGCCGCTGTGCTCGGCCGCCATGGAAGGCACCTTCCTCCTCTTCTCCACCCTGCCTAGCTACCTTCCCGCCTTCGCTAGTTTCAGACTTTTAGCGTGCTCCTGCTTAGTTCATACTGTCACGGCCGAAAATGGCCGCCCGGCCTCGTGGCCGAGCCCGCATGCCAACGCCAGACGTCAGATCGCCGACGGCCGCATTCACCTCCTCGCCGAGCAAGGTAGAGAGGCCATGGGCCGACGCCTTGCCGGCCGCCTCACCCTTCCCTTCGCTCGGGCCGCACAAGCCAAATGTGGCCGTGGGCCAGCTGATTCCAGCGGGCTGGCCCAGTAGCAATAGGATGATTTGTTTTCAATTATTCTTTATTATTTGAAAATAGAAATGGTTTGAAAAATATTTGGATATTCAAAGTTGCTCCAAATCTGTTGAAATAAATTTATATAGGTTCCTTATCATCATATCTACTTGGAAAAATTATTGCATGTCATTTTTGAGATACTTTTCTGTAGAATTTTATTTAATCATGTATATTGCTTTGATAACTTGAAAATGTGTAGAAAATCTATAGGCTTCAGAAAAATATGATTCTAAGTTTGTTAATCTTCTTATATAATGTACTTCCTAGGAAAAATATATTTCATGCATGTGCTGTGGGAAAATCTTGAGGTGTAGTTCAAGTACCTTTAATGGCTGATTTTTGTTCTTTTAACTAGAGAGCAAATTTTGTATAAAACATGCATGTGATAATTTTTGTACAGTCATTGTATGCTATGAAGAACCTAGGAAAAATACTAACTCTGTTGTTTGACACTTTTCACAGTTCAAAGTATTTTTATGTTCATAATCATGCTATAGCTTGTTATTTTTGTGTAGGCTAATCCACTCATTCAAATACCATGAAAATCTGATAGTAGACTACTTAGGGTAGTACTATGCTGTAGTAGTTTTCTAAGATTTTTCTAAGCAATAAAAATAGATGTTGCTATTCAAACCTATTATTAATTAGGGTTTAAGCAAGTGTTGTTTTAAGTGTGATTAAGAAATTAGTGAAGCTTTGGTGTATCTTTGAAGCATTCAATAAGATGTGTTGACTTAACATATTAGTAGTAGAAGAGAATGCAGTAGATGACTTGTGCTCGTAGTATATGTTCTTGGATGATGTTGACTACCTTGCATTTAAACATATCAATTGTATTCATCTCATTCGATGCAACCGATTGCATAAGCACTTACGCACATTGCATCATACAGATCACAAACCGAGAACCCAAATCGTCATACCCGAGGAGCCCGAGGAGCAGCTCGAGGTGCGTGCACCGAAAGTGCCCGGCCCGACGAGGAGGACGTTGAGGAACTTCCGGAGTGCTCCGATCACCACCCGAAAGCTCTTTCGAGAGAGCAAGCCCAAGCATTTTCTCCCGGTTTGCAATTATTAATTAAATGCTTTACTTTAATTGATGCATTACGTTCAAGAGTTATTTGCAACCGTTCTTTGCATTATCCTTGTTTACCTTTGTTATACTATATCCTTGTTACCACGGTACCCGCAATCAGTCAATGCTTAGCCGGCTTAGACCGGTAGAAGTCGGTGATTTCTGTCACACCGCGAGCTATAGGTGGTTACCTAGATCTGCTTGGATGACTATGAAGTCATGGTATAACTAAGTGTTAAATGAAGTTGAGACCGGACGGAGACTTGCAGAGTTTTGAACTGTAGTGCTTTTCATCTGTGTCGATTAAGGACCGACCGTTGTTGGGCCTCGAGTCGTGTTGAACGCATGCCTTACATTTAGCTGGCCGGATAAAGTACCTTCCGACCGCGAAGCTGGGAGATTATTCAGGCCGAGTAGATTGCCCGCAACGCACTGTGCCGGAGCAGGTGTGGTAGGACACGGGGGCGAGATGATAAGACCAAAGTGTAGTCGGTCGGCCTCCGGGTACATGTGGTTCCTGGCAAACTCGAGATACCTGGATAGTTGACTCGGTGATCAATATCTCACTTTAGCGGGTGAGTGAGGTTTGTGTAAGGAATAAATCACCAGCTGGTTAGGAATCGATTTGAATCACCATCGCTCCTGGATAGTGAGCACTTGACTTGAGTGACTTCATCGTAGTAATGTTGATGGAACACTTGGAAAGTTATAATGAATATGACAGTATGGAAGTTGTTAATGATCGTTGGTTATCATTTGGCTTAATCACATGTTTGCTCTAGTGTAGGTGCAAATTTAGTCGACAGGTTATAATTAATTAACTTGGCAATAATGTCTTTAGAAAGGTTCTTGAAATGCTAAAAAATGCTTTCTTTGCAAATGAGTCAGCTACCCTACTATAAAGCCTTCATAATCCTTGGTGTCACTTATTTTCGGTTATGTCGGGTAAGTCTAGCTGAGTACCTTCTCGTACTCAGGGTTTTATTCTCACTTGTTGCGAGATGGGTAGATATATTACGACTCTTGTATCAACCGCCTTTATCCCCGCGATGGGTGATGCTTAGGACCATGGGCATGGTCATTCCTTACGTCTCGTCTAATGCTTTTGTTGGAGATGATCATTCGCTGGCACTAT